TTATTAGGGATTCTGGACCCCCTTTTTTTTTCTTTTTTTTTTTTTGGGGGGGGGTACCGACGACCCCCGACCGATAGGTCTCAACCGTCGGGGGGTGCAACCCTGTCATCCTGGGAAAAAAAACAGGATTTTGAACCTGCGACCACTATCTCACTATTATGAAACCATGTACCTGGTCGCTGTCCTGTCACATACCACCCATACATGCACTTGCCCAGAACAACTCAAATTGCCAAGAGCAATCAACTGACTGAAATCACTTATGAAGTGCAACAGTTAGATTAGAGTAGAATAGAGCTTAACCCAAGACAACTTCTCCCTCCCACTCAAATCAGTTATGAAGCGCACACTTGGATTATTAAAGTAAAAAATAGAGTTGAACCCGACACCACTTCTCCCTCCAACCTCCTTAACATCGTTCACAAGTATTATCGTTATCTAGAGGTGTACATTGTTCCGCCTTCACGGAGGAACCAACAACCAGAAGCTGCCTCAAGAACAACATCCAAGTCCACACCCACTCTGCCCTCATACCCCCATAGCCTCCCACTGGTTCACACTGCAACAACAGGCATCTACAAGTCGCTGACTCAACTTAGGCTGGCACTGCTACTACCACCTCCACAGCTAGCTGACCTTCAGTTAGCAAGCGTGCACAGCTTCTTCTTTTCGGTGGCAAGCAGACGCTATGGCTGCTCCAAAATTAGCGAGGAGAGTTAGGGCTGCTTCACCAAGCGCTCAAGAAGCCTGGTGGCATCACATCCAGTGTGTGTTGTGTGTGTTGTGTGTGTTGTGTGTCTGTGTGTGGAGCAGACCGCCCGGCTGACTTATAAGTTATAAGTCATTTGTCGGTCACCCAGTCCATTGGCCTCTGGTTCCGGTCCAAGTCAAAGATTCCGCCCAGGCTGGCACCGCGCATCTTTCCCACATTCCAGGCAGGGTACAGAAGAACCAGAAGATTCTGGGAGGAGCTTGTACTGCGCAGCAAGGTTGGTCAATTACTCGCCAGATGACTTTGCGGACACAATAACGATCATAACAATCAAGTAATTTCAACTAATTTGTTGGTCCACCAGTCCATTGGCCTCTGTTTCCGGTCCACGTCAAACCTTGGGCCCAGTTTGTATTCAAGGAGGCCTGGTCGTGCTTCACTGAGGCCGAAAACGTGTACCTTTCCCACATTCCAGGCAGGGTATAGAAGTAACAGAAGATTCCAGATCAATCTGGTACTGCGCAGTCAACTTAGGCCCACCAGGTTGGTCAATTATTTGCCAGACCTCTAATTCTTGCAGATAAACCCCGGTGCCAAAATTGCGGAAAACTTGGGAAAAGTCCTTGATGGTCATTGAAAAAAAAAACAACGGAAGGGACAAACAAACAATTTCCATAAAAACAATGACGTAACTGAAATCACACAAAACACAGACTATTTACAATTATGGTACATCACTACACTCGGTGACTCGGTGGTGATGCAAACCTGTGGATTTTGCATTACAAAAGTGTATAAGAGTCTATGAAGCAGAAGGAAAAACAGACTCACTTCACACTGCAACCCCAAACTGGCAGCCTGAAACTCTCTCTCTCTCTCTCTCCCTCCCCACAGGGGCACAGTGTACGTCAGTGGTTAATCCATCTCTTTATCCATAATTCTGCGGGTGTGCATGTTTTACATCTGCTAAACACAACGCAACATAGAGTGGGTTACTGCTGCAGACTGTTTCATCGGATTTTCACTAACTCGCCAGGACATTGACAGCTGACAGTGGGCCCAGGATGCACTTGACTGATGGTTAAGGGCTCGCCACCTTGCTCTTGCCCAAAATTGTGATACCCTTGAAGAATGTAGTCGACTTCACTCTGTGTGCTCGCACATGGCTTGGTGTGAGTCGGTGTTTGCATGTGTGTGTGTGTGTGTGTGTGTGTGTGTGTGTGTGTGGGCATGCATGTATGCGTTGTCATGTTCGCTCTACAACTCCACAATAAACAGCATGGCTATGACAAATTATGTCGACGAACTTCCACCGAATGTGCGTGTGTCTTTGCACCACCGGGATCTTCTCTTCCTTCTGAGGGCTGGCCTGGCACAGCCCTTTCCCATGTTTTTCCCTTTTTGGCGGCCAGCCTGGCGCTCGTCTTTTTCATCTTTTGCTTTTTCTTTTGTAGGCTAGTCTGGCACCAGTATTTTCCTCTTAATTGCTTTTTACGGGGGTGTCCTTTCTCATCTTGTCTTTCTTTCGAGGGGACGGCCAAGTGTCAGCCTTCATCATACACCGTTTCATTCATGGGGCCTGTCTTTCTTTTTTTTTCTCATCCTTTTTCCCATCCACAGGGCGGGCGTGGCGGTGGCTTTGCCGTCACTATGCTCACGGCAGCCCAATGAGCACACATACGCATCAAGAAAAACAATCAAACAATGGGAAAACACCAAGCAACACAAGAGCAAAATGCATACCGAACTACCCAAAAAACTCGACATGGTATCAGGAAATGACTCAGAGGGCGGCTTCAAATAAAAAGCATACATGTTTTCCATCGCTATGCTCACGGCAGCCCAATGACCCAACATACACATCCAGAAAAATCGGACAGACGCAACAATGGGAAAGCACCACGAGAGCAAAATGCATACCGAATGACCCAAAAAAAGTCAACGTGGTATCAGGAAATGCCTCACAGAGCGGCTTCAAATAAAAGGCATAAGTATCCAACACAGATTGGAAGTCGCAAAGGCCCAAACTTCCAATATTTTGCCGCCCAGATCGAAATCCAATGGCCAGAAAGTGGCAAGGGGGAAGAAATTTGGTGTGCAGTGCAGAGCCCATAGCCCGTAAGCCTTTTGGTGCTATGGGTATAAAACACATAAAACATAACCAAATTAACAAATAAATTGAAATAATATTGAGAACAGTCCGAACTGTGACGAGCGAAATCTGCCTTACCGCATTGGTGAACTTTTTTTTTTTCTGAAAGAAAAACGTCTTTGCTAGGAGAGGTGGTATGAGCACTCCCTCCTAGCAAGAGTCCTGGGTACTCCAGTCTATTGGTGGGGAGCAGCACCACCTGCTGGAAAGCAGGTCCAGCGTCCCACTATACATCAGAAGGCCTACCGCATTGGTGAACTTGATGCCATCCTTTCGTGTTTCCAGAGTGACGTATTGCATATTGAGCTTTTTCCTGACACGTGGTTCTTCCTTCTTTGTTATGCGGAAGACATGTCCAAGCTGCAATCGAAGACACAATTCACAGAAAGGACAAAGTGAGGAAGAAATCACCAATCAGTGCCATCACATATTTTATCTGCCATGTTCTTTTTCTCCTGTCTTTTGCAATTCTCAAACCATTCACTCGGACTACCTTCTTCACCCAAATAGAATGTCCAGCCATTATAGCTGTATTTGGGGAAGCTTTCAGACCAGATGCGGCAATAACGACGGGGCGTTTTATTCTGGTGAAGACCGTAGCATGTGACCTTGGTCTTTGTGCTCTGCTTCCACTCCATTTTCATAGATCATCTACGTTCTTTATAAACCACCTCAGGGTTGCACCGGCGCTGACCGCCGACCCCGACCTCCGACCGTTTTGTCCCGACCGATCGGGGCTGACCGGTCGGCGGTCCGCCGACCAGTCAGAAAACAGGCATCCGCTGCTTTTTTTTTTTTTCTGATTGCGCAGCCTTACTGCGCTTGCTGAGTACAGCCCAAATCCGCAGAGAAAGTTTTTGGGATGGGTGAGGGGTATGGGGGGTTGGGGTTGGAGCATACCTGCGGCGCAAGTGTGCTGGTCACCGATGCGCAAAAAAGAAAAAGAAAAAAAAAAAACGGCTGTTATATGTGAGAACACGCAAAATAGATAGATAGATAGATAGATAGATAGATAGATAGATAGATAGATAGAGATAGATAGATAGATAGATAGATAGATAGATAGAGATATAGATAGA